GCACTCTACCACTTGAGCCACAGCACCACTTCCGGCTTTTTTCTTTTTGCTTATATGGTGCTGAAGAATCGAACCCAGGGCCTCAGGCATGCAAGGCAAGCGCTCTACCACTGAGCCACCTTCCCAGCTCCAAGAACTCAGATTTTTATGACTATCTTCCACCACTATTTTATAGTAGGTGAGGGAAAAGGAGTGGCTAGCCCCAGGCACCTGCTGCATATACATGAATACCCAAGACAAAAATCTGTACAGTATGTATAAAAACATGAGAAAAACACATTTCTCATTCAGGTTTGTCTACAATGTGACCTTGGATAGATTACCAAACTTTTCTATGCTTCACAAAGGAAAAAAGTAAATAATCATAAAAAGTGCCAGATGGAGCTGGGTGCTGGTGGCTCACACCTGTAAACCTAGCTACTCAGTAGGCTGAGATCTGAGGATCATGGTTCAAAGCCAGCCTGGGTAAGAAAGTCCATGAGCCTCTTTTATCTCCAATTAACCACCAGAAAACTGGACATGGTGCGGTGGCTCAAGTGGTAGAGCTCTTGCCTTGAGCTGAAGAGCTAGGGGACAGCGCCCAGGCCCACAGAGTTCAAGCCCCATGACCAACCTCCCCCCACCAAAAAAAAAAAAAAAAAATGCCAGTTGGTATTTAACAAGTTCACTTTTTTTTCCTTACAGGTAAAAATAACATTTTTACCCTGGACTTTGCTGCATTATTAGGTTTCAGTAAGAATCTTAATGTCATTTCTTTATCTGAGGATTAGTATCTCCTTTACAATAGATCCAAAGCAGAATAGCTATTAGCAGATTACAATGGCTGCTAGAAAGCCAGGACAGAACAGTCCAGACTTAAATAATGATATTGATGACTAGAGCCATAGAGAGTTTCTCCCAGGCAAGTTGCTGTGTAAATGTGGAATTAAGTGTTTTACAAGAGCAAGATGAGTTCCACCCCTTCTTTAGAACCATTCAGTACAATTAAGAAGGATCTAGAAGTAGAGAGATCATTGTAGTTTCTTCTGTTATAATTAGTCCTTTCCAAATCCCAGTGGAGGGATCTGACCATAAGCTACTCTAGGTCCTTATACTAAAAATGTCAAAGCTATTTTTCACAACCATTACTCTATTATTCCTAAGGAGGACAGCTTGACTGAGAACAGTCATAAAAGTAATTTTATTGGTTCAGGCTAAATCATATGTCTCCATCATATTTTCTTTTTTTTTGGGTCCGGTCGTGGGGCTTGAATTCTGGGCCTGGGCACTGTCCCTCAGCTCTTCAGCTCAAGGCTAGCACTCTACCACTTGAGCCACAGCGCCACTTCCGGCTTCTTTTCTTTTTGCTTATGTGGTGCTGAGGAATCGAAACCCAGGGCCTTCATGCATGCAAGGCAAGCGCTCTACCACTGAGCCACCTTCCCAGTCCCTGTCTCCATCATATTTATCTATTTGCATTCTCATTTGTGCAGCTAGAGCACAATTTTCTCACCATTTGCCTACCTGCCCTGTCCCATCCTTTCTTTTGTTCCTGCCCTAGCTGACTCATTCTTCCCTCTGCTCACCACTTCTTCCCACCTACTTCAGCTATGCTTGGGTCTGGCTAATTTATCCTTTTCTCAATTACAAACATATATATGGTTCTTATCATGTGGCCAGCCCATATTCAATGATGGGTCTTCTCCACCCCAACGTAGATGGTCCTGCCTACCTCTCTCTAAACTTGTCATCTACCAACTCTTACTTCTGGATGTACTAGAATGTGAACAAAATAGAGGTACGCTGGATAAAAGGTTTATGGACTGAAAATAATGTAAAGTAACTTGTGTCTTCATAAGTTTAAAGCTCTGAAGGGCACAGAGAAATCTAAAAACAGTCTAATAAAATGAAAGTAAATTTGGAACTTGTTCCTGGTGACTTCAACTAACCCAGTATTAACAACTGAAAAAGAAAAAAGGTAAATAACTAAGGAAGATGACTTTAACTAAAAACAGCTTTTAATTCCTATGATTAAATACTGCTGTTTTTGTGATCTAACTGAGCCATTGTACTAAATATTGAAGCTACTAGGGAAAGTTACTAGGGTAAATTATAGGGAATCCAGAAGTCATCGCTAAATCTGATACCTAATACCGCATACTCAAAACAATTGGTATAACCTAGACTTGAAAAGAAAACATCAAAGTCCTGTTTCTCAACAATAAGAAGAAATGAAGCAAAAATAAAAACTTTGGGACTGGGAAGGTGGCTCAGTGGTAGAGTGCTTGCCTTGCATGCATGAGGCCTGGGTTTGATTCCTCAGTACCACATAAACAGAAAAGGCCAGAAGTGGTGCTGTGGGACTCAGGTAGTAAAGCGCTAGCATTGAGCTGAAGAGCTGAGGGACAGCAGCGTTCAGGCCTCACGACTGGCCAAAATAAATAAATAAACAAATAAATAAATAACTGCAAAGAATATATTTGGCTTAGAGGAAAAAAGTCTAAACTTTTGACTTTTTATCAGTAAGGAAAAGAAAACAATAATGTTTCATATTCTTTTTTTTTATTTTATTTGTGAAGATACTGTACAGAGGGGTTACAATTACATGGGCAGGATAATGCGTACATTTCTTACCAAGCATTGCAGCCTCCTCCTTTTGTTTATCCTTCACATCCCTTCCCAGCCTCCCCCCACTCCCCCAATCCCAATCTTTCTCCTTCCCCCCCTTCTTCCCCCCCATGTTTCATATTCTTTACATACAATGTCACATTTAAAATTTTTTGTTTTTCCTCGTACTGAACTCAGAAATTCATCACACTATAATCTCAACTACAGTTTACAAGTAAAAAATCTATTCCCAGCCTTGCCATCTCATTATAGGAAAACATATACACGGTTCTCTTGATTCACTAATCACTGGATGTTCCTTTTGTTGGGGTTATATTTATAATGTAATTGATTTCTAAAAAAAATCTGATTACAGTTGAGGATATAGTTCAGTGATAGAGTATTTGTTTAGCACACACAAAACCCCAGAGTTTGATCTCAGAACCACCCCTCTCCCCACAAAAAAGAGCCCTGCAAACCCAGCTTCTAAGTTCCAAGTCTTATCCAGGAACACTCTGTGTTCAAGGATATGGAACAGTCATTTAACACATACCCACAAGCCACCATGAGCAACAGCACAGGCTAAAGTTCAATGAAGGTAAATACTCATTGTGGCTGCCACCTAGGTTAGGACTATAGTAGATATTAGCACAGTTAGGTTTTAAGACTTAAATTAACAAGTAATTCTGGGTGCTAGTGGCTCATACCAGTAATCCTAACTATTCAGGAGGCTGAAATCTGAGGATCAAACTTTGAAGTCAACCTGGACAGGAAAGTCTACAAGACTCCTATAACTCCAATTAAACACTCAAAACGTAGAAGTGAAGGTGTGGCTCAAGTGGAAGAGCCCTAGCCTTGAGCATAAAAGCGCAGGGACAGTGCCCTGGCCCAGAGTTCAAGCACCAGGATAGTAGGCACAGACACACACACACAAAATCACAAATAGTGGCTCTCTTCTATAATCTACTAAACCAAAAGTCCTTTAATAGTACCTTTAATAGTGATACTTGAAAATAAAAGCCTTCCTGCAGTGATTAACAAAAAAAAAAAAAAAACCTGTCACATTGAAGGAAGTATAAAGGAGAGGAATTTCGACTGTTCTGTGATTAAACCAGATCCGAAATACTTCATCTTCTAAGAGAGATGAACTATAGATGTAGTCTATTTCAGGTTGGTAACATTTGTTTAATTAGAATATTTTTCAGGGGCTGGGAAGGTGGCTCAGTGGTAGAGCACTTGCCTTGCATGCCTGAGGCCCTGAATTCGATTCCTCAGCACCACATAAGCAAAAAGAAATGTACTCTTTACCTGATTTATGAGACTGTAACCCCTCTGTAGATCACCTTTATAATAACAATAAAAAAATTAAAAAAATATTTTTCAGTAAGCCAGTAAGGCATTTTAGTAACTTGAGCTTTCAGGTAGAAAAATAGACATTTAAAAAAAAAAAAGTATAAACTTGTTTGCATTGCTAGAGATTGAATCTAGGGCCTTTCAAATAATAACTAAGTACTTAACTACTAAGCTATATTACATTATATACCAGTCCTAAATTTTTACATCTTTGTGTATGTGTGTGTGTGTGCCAATAGTGGGGTATGAACTCAGGGCCTGGGTACTGTCTCTCTCTTTTTTTTTTTTAGTTGGTCATAGGGCTTAAACTCTGGGCTTGGGCACTATCCTTACACTCTTCAGCTCAAGGTGAGTGCTCTACCACTTGAGCCACAGTGCCACTTCCGGTTTTCTGAGTGGTTTATTGGAGGTAAGAGTCTCACGGATTTTTCTGCCCAGGCTGGCTTTGAACCGTGATCCTCAGATCTCAGCCTCCTCAGTAGCTAGGATTATGGGCATGAGTCACCGATGCCCAGCTGGGTACTGTCTCTTACTACCACTATCCCAAATCCCTGCTTCCAACTCAAGGCTAGCACTTTACCACTTGAGCCATACTTCTACTTCTTGCTCTTTACTTGTAATTTGGATACTAATTTCTTGGATGTCTGCCCAAACTGACTTCAAACTTCAATCCTCAGATATCAGCCTCCTGAGTAGCTAGAATTTAAGTCTATGGATAGATTTTGACAGTGCTGTGCTATTTCATAATGTGCTGCAAATGCTGGAAAAAAATAGTTTGAAAAATACGTACCTTGTCTCATTTCTTTCGATGTACATAACAAAATGAAAAGAACAATGAACTATTAAGAGGAAAAAGCCCCGTAGCATGTGTATTTGGAGTACTCACTCCAGGAACAGGACAGTAAAGAGCTTTATGGATGGCTATTGTCTACTTACCCAACAAGCAGGCTAGATATATGGTCTAGTAAAAAGAACAAACAAGACAAAAATCTTGCATATTTTAGGGTTTGTAGCTAGGCAATATGTTAAGAAAATGGAGAAGAAAAAAAAAGATGACTTACCTGAACTGCCAAGCTGTTTATAAAACCTGTACTCTAAATGAAGCTGTGGAGCACGTGATTTTATTGGTTCCTGAAATCCAAAAAGAAAAACTGTGATCAAATTTAGACAAAAGGGATTTTTCCATTTGTACATTTTTTTCAGAGTTACTATTGTCTAAGTACCTAATGTTTTAAGAGATTGTATCTATATCACAGTCTTTTCTTTTCACTCTGTCACTGAATATACAGCTGAGAGGAGATGAGCTAGATTATATGCAACCCCTTCCATAGATGACCAAGTAAAAACAGATTCTCCATGAGTCATCACTGAAGGACATCTCTTCAGCAAGAATTAATATGAAACATATTCTCCCAGGAAATAAAATGTCAATTTTTTTGGGGGGGGTCAGTTGTGGGGGTGGAACTCGACCTGGGCGCTGTCCCTCAGCTCTTCAGCTCAGGGCTAGCACCCTATCACTTGAACCACAATGCCACTTCTGGCATTTTCTGCTTTTGTGGTGCTGAGGAATCAAACCCAGAGCCTCAGGTATGCGAGGCAAGCACTCTACCACTGAGGCAACTTCCCAGCCCTGTCAAATATTTTTTAAAAGATAAATGCGTAACAACATGTATTTCTTGCATGCTTAATTATGAATTCTGGGGCTTTTATAATTTTTCTGTTTTTAGAAAAATATATTCTAAAAAAAAAAAAAGTTTCAGCTGGGCACAGGTGGCTCATGCCTGTAATCCTAGTTACTCAGGAGGCTGAGATCTGAGCCAGCCCAGGCAGTGAGACTCTTATCTCCAACTAAGCACTAGAAAAGGGGAAGTGGTGCTGTGGTTCAAGCAGTAGATCTCTCCCCTTGAGCTGAAGAGCACAGGGACACACCCAAGCCCAGAATTCTAGCCCCACAACCAACCAAAAAAAAAAAAAAGTTTCAAATAGGGCTCCGAAGGTGGCTCAGTAATAGAGTGCTTGCCTTGCATGCTTGAGGCCCTGAGTTGGATTCCTCAGCACCGCATAAACAGAAAGTGGTGCTGTGGCTCAAGTGGTAGAGCACTAGCCTTTAGCTGAAGAGTTGAGGGACAGCGTCCAGGCCAAGTTCAGCCCCCACAACCAATCAAAAAAAAAAAAAGTTTCAAACACACAAAAAAATGGCAAAAGTAAAGATAATGAGACAACCATTTAAAAGATACCACTATTAATATTTTGGAAAATATTTAACCAAGTATTTCCTTTGTGGATTTAAAAAAATACACAATTTCTTATATCCTAAATTCTATGTAGTCCAGGCTGGTTTTGAAGCTGAAAATAATACTGACACAATCTCCAGGGGTTATACATGTGTATCACCATACTTAGATTTGACATAAAACCTAAAACAAAGCAGGTTGTGTTCTAGGAACATGCCTGAGACCTTATCTCAAAAATAACAAGTAGGGCTGGGAAGGTGGCTCAGTGGTAGAGCGCTTGCCTTGCATGCATGAGGCCCTGGGTTTGATTCCCTAGCACCACATAAGCAAAAAGAAAAAAAGCCGGAAGTGGCACTGTGACTCAAGTGGTAGAGTGCTAGCCTTGAGCTGAAGAGCTGAGGGACAGCACCCAATTCAGGCCCCATGACCGGACCCCCCCCCAAAAAAAAAAAACAAGCACATGCCCAGGCGCCCATGGTTCATGTCTATAAATCCTAAGCTACTCAGGGGACTGAGATCTGAGGATCACAGCTCAAAGCCAGCCTGGGCAGGAAAGTCCATGAGACTCATATCCAAATAACCACCAGAAAACCAGAAGTAGCACTGTGGCTCAAGTGTTAGAGAGCTCGCTTTGAGCTAAAGAGCTCAGGGACAGTGCCAAGGCCCACAGAGTTCAAGCCCCACAACCAACCAAAAAAAAAAAGGCACAAAAGAGTAGAGATGTGCTCAGTGACAGAATCCCTTTCTTATAAGTGTGAGACCTTGATTTCAAATCCCATTATTACTAGAAACAAATAACAAACCACCTTTATATGAGGGGGAGGGGAGGTAAATTCTAGTCTATGCTTTATTGGATAATTATTTTTAAATGTTTCCTCCCATTTCATAGGTTGCCTTTTCATTCTGCTAAATGTCTCTGGATCCACAGAAGCTTAAAATTTTGCTAAAGTTCAATTTATCAATTTTTTCTTTGGTTGTTCGTAATTTTTGGTATCATACGTAAGAAACTGCTGACAAATGCAATGTGATATTATTTTTCCCCTATGATTTATGGTCACTGAAGTCTTTAATTCGCCAAGCATTTTTTCCCCCGGGTCCTGGGGCTTGAATTCAGTGGTGCTATGGCTCAAGTGGTAGTGTGGTCAAGGCTAGTGCTCTACCACTTGAGCCATAGCACCACTTTCCTGTTTATGTGATATGGAGGAATTGAACCCAGGTCTTCATACATACAAGGCCTAAGTACTTTATCACTAAGCCAAGAGTTAAATTTTGTACATAAGGTAAAGGTTCAACTTTATAACATGTGGATTTTCAGTTTTCCCAGCACCACTGGTTGAAAATACTGTCCTTTTTCCCACTGAGTGATTTTATGTCCTATTCATTCAGTGTTCAAGAGAGAGATTTTCCTTCCCTTGGTAACACAGGCTGATGTTTAATAAGTTGCATAGATTATATTTAGGTTTTGTTCAAATCTCCTTGCTGAAATAAATAAGAGTTATCTTTTTTTTTGGGGGGGGGTCTGGTCATGGGGCCTGAACTCTGGGCCTGGGCACTGTCCCTCAGCTCTTTAGCTCAAGGCTAGTGCTCTACCACTTGAGCCACAGCGCCATTTCAGGATTTTTTTTCCCTTTTTGCTTATGTGGTGCTGAGGAAATCGAACCCAGGGCCTCATGCATGCAAGGCAAGTGCTCTACCACTGAGCCACCTTCCCAGCCCCAATAAGAGTTATCTTATGTCCTCAAAAACAAGATCAATAGTTCCTCCACAATCTATGAATACTGTAATGGATAGCTTCAAATAACAAAACTATCAATCCTTTCTTAGGCTTTTATTAGGCAAAGTAATTTCAGTTCCATAAACTTCCAGACTAGTTTTACTTTTTATTTTTAATTCTTTATCTTTGAGGATTGATTCCACCCTGAATCCATTTGGAATGTTTCTGACTAGTGTGATAAAGTCTCAAGCCATTCTATTCTACTTGGGATAAGAATCATCCCTTTCCAGGAAGTGGAAGTGTGGCTCAAGTGTTAGAGCACCAGTCTTTTTTTTTTGGTCAGCCGTGGGACTTGAACTCTTGGGCCTGAGGTGCTGTCCCTAAACTCTTCAGCTCAAGGTGAGCACTCTATCCTACCACTTGAGCCACAGTGCTACTTCCAGTTTTATGAGTGGTTTATTGGAGATAAGAGTCTCACAGAATTTCCTGCTTGAGCTGGCTTTGAACCATGATCCTTAGATCTCAGCCTCCTGAGTAGCTAGGATTACAGTCATGAGCCACTGGCACTGGCTAGAGCACCAGTCTTGAGTGTAAAAAGGGAAAGCAAGACTGAAAGGCCCTGAGTTCAAGCCCCAGTACTTGCACATGAATGAATGAATGAGCAAATAATTCCTTTCTGGCAAATCCATGATGTATATGCTGCCTACTTGTGGTATACCTGTCTTTATACTGTAATGCTTGTATTCAAGTAATTTTTATTTTATTAAAAATGGCCCCAAAGTACAAGAGTAGTGATGTCAGCAATTTGGATATGCCAAAGAAATACCAACTAAAAAGAAAAAAGTGCTCCACCTAAAGAAAAAAACATTTGTGCTGGGTATGGTGGCACATGTCTGTAATTCTAGCACTTAAAGGCTGAAGCAGAAGGCTCACAAATTTGAGGCCAGCCTGGGTCACAGAGCAAGACCATGTCCTCCTTGCCCCCAATAAAACATTTGTGGCAAGAATTAATCTTTTTCCTCTGTGGAAAAAAAAAAAAAAACAAAAAAGAAATTCAAACAAATTTTGCTACTATATCTCAAGCTGCAAACATTATGGCCATAATGCATGGTAAGTACATTAAGATGGAAATGGTAGTAAATTATGACATCTGGTGCTAACTGCATTTTAAGGCAACCACTGAGTCTTGAGAAATATTTCATAAGGATAAGGATACTACAGTGTTGATTTCTCTACCTTTCCATTCCCTGTTCTTTGCTCCAGTAGATATTTGCTTTCTGTTTAAAATTTTTCTGCTGTTCTTCAGACTTGAATCCAGTGGATCTCACATTGCTTCACCACTTCCTTATCAGCTGTCCTCTCCTCTGTATACTTGATCCTCCCTCCCTCCCTCCCCACAAATGCTGTAGCCACCATCCCAGAACTATATCCAAGTTCTGCTCAAAAGCTCTGGGAGGCTCCCAGGTGCCAGTCGACTGGAAGATTCTGGCCTGGCACTGTGGCTCTTCCTCAGGTTCTCCTCCACAGGAAGTTAGTAGTCCTGTAAAAGTATTCTCTGGCATATCTGACTTTTCATTTTTCTTGACCATGTGAGTAATTCTAATTATTTAAGGCTATTCACAAGGCAGAAGCAGCTCCTAAGATACTTTAAAATTGGGCACCAAGCTGGGCACTGGTGGCTCATGCCTGTAATACGAGCTACTCAGGAGGCTGGGATCTGAAGATCTCGGTTCAAAGCTAGCCCGAGCAAGAAAGTCGTGAAATTCTTATCTCCAATAAACCATGAAAAAACCAGAAATGGCGCTGTAGCTCAAGTGGCAGAGCGTTAGCCTTGAGCTGAAGAGCTGAGGGACAGTGCTCAGGCCCAGAGTTCAAGCCCATGACTGACAAAACAAAAACAAAAAACAAACAAAAAAAAAAAACTGGGCACCAGTGGCTCATCCTAGCTATTCAGAAGGTTGGGATTTGAGGATCTGAGCAGGAAAGCTGTGAGATTCTTATCTCCTTAAAATAAAAAAATAGAATTGGAACAGTGGCTCAAAGTGGTAGAGTGCTAGCTTTGAGCACAAAAGTTCAGATGAGAGACAGTACCCAGGCCCTGAGTTCAAGCCCCCAGACCTGCACAAAACAAAACAATACAAAAATTCTTATTACTGTATACTTGCTCCTGTCACTTTATTTTTCAAGACTGCTTTTGAGATTTTTTTCTTCTATTAGAATTGTCTATATTTCCTCTACCAAATTTATAATAGTCAATTTATCTCTATGTTATTATTTTTTTTGCCGGGGGGGGGGAGGAGGGGGGGGGTCCAGTCATGGGCCTGAACTCTGGGCCTGGGCACTGTCCCTCAGCTCTTTAGCTCAAGGCTAGCACCCTACCACTTGAGCCACAGCGCCACTTCCGGCTTTCTTTTTGCTTATGTGGTGCTGAGGAATCGAACCCAGGGCCTAAAGCATACAAGGCAAGCACTCTACCACTGAGCCACCTTCCCAGCCCTTATCTCTATATTATTGACATGATTTACCATTACATTTCACTTCCTCTATTATTTTTCCTTCTACTTTGTATGACCAATGTAGCTCAGTAGTAGAAGGCATACATTGCACGTATGAGGCCCTGGGTTCAATCCCAGGAGGAAGAAAAACAAAGCAAAACAAAACAAGAACCCTAAGAATGGAATTTATATCTATTAATATGGTATGTCTGAGAACTACATTTCTCTTTCAAGTAAAAAGGTAAATAAAGGTGTTTTAGAGCATAACAGTCTTATCTGTGAGTCTGTTTTCTTGATGTTTGGCTTATTCTACACGGAATACAACAGTATAGTGACTGAGCTCCGTTCACTGTAAGGGAAAAATCTGTATTAAGTATCATGCTCCTATAAGGTAGCCATCTGCTGTAGGTTTAGGATTTCAGGAAGGCATGTGTGTTCCAGAATAACCAGGATTCTGGCAAATGGCCAGACTTCTATGAAAATGAAATAAACATCTGGCACAGAAATACAAAGAAGCTCTGCTGGCTGCTGTTTCAATTCTACTTTGTTTGGATCTTCATTGTGGGCTCTTGTTTCTTTGGTTTTTAAGAACTTTAAAAAACAACTAGCCTCCGGGCATCGGTGGCTCACTCCTGTAATCCTACCTACTCAGGAGACTGAGATCTGAGGATGGTGGCTCAAAACTCTATGGTGGCAGGAAACTCTATGAGACTCTTATCTCCAATAAACCACTCAGAAAAGGGAAGTGGCAATGTGCCTGAAGTGGTAGAGTACTCGCCTTGAGCTGAATAGCTGAGGGATAGTGCCCAGGCCCAGAGTTCAAGCCCCACAACCGACAAAAAAAAAAAAAGCCTAGGTACCCTAGGTAGCCTAGGTATGGTGGCTTATGACTGTAGTCATTAGAATTCGAATTAAGTAGATCCCGTTTCTTCTCCTTTCTCCCCAGAAATAACACCTCTAGCTTGCAACTAACGAAGTTCAAAGCTACCTGTAAACTTTGGGGGACTTACTAGTATTTCTAGAGGCCAGACATTTATATAGAAATTAGTCATATAAATTATTCCATATAACTAAAAATGGCTTGGAATCAACTTTAAATTCAAGAAAGAACTGTTTCTAAACTTATTGTTCCTCCAAGAAATAAAATTAATCTTTCCTTCTTTCCTTCCTTCCTCTTTCTTCCTTTCTTCTTTCTTTCCTTCCTTCCTTCCTTTCTTTTCTTCTTTCTTTCTTTGTCAGTTGCAGAGCTTAAACTCAGAGCCTGAGCACTGTCCCAGAGCTTTTCTACTCAAAGCTAGAACTCCACCACTTTGAGCCACAGCTCCACATCTACTACTTCTAGTTTTCTGGTGATGAGAAGAGTCTCACAGACTTTCCTGCCTCCTAGGCTTTGAACCATGATTAGCCTACTGAGTAGCTAGGATTACAGGCATGAACCTGTAGCACTAAACTTAAAATTAATTATTTTTTAAGTAGGGCATTTTTGTTCTTTGTGGGTTATGGGGCTTGAACTCAGGGCGTGGGCCCAGTCCCTGAACCTCTTTGTGCTCAAGGCTACTGCTCTACCACTTGAGCCACAGTGCCACTTTAGGTTTTTGAGAGGTTAATTGAAGATAGGACTCTCATGGGGAATTTTCTGTCCGGGCTGGCTTCAAACTGTGATCCTCAGATCTCAGCCTCTTTTTTTTTTGGTTGGTCCTTGGGCTTGAATTCGGCTTGGGCGCTGTCCTTGCGCTCTTTGGCTCAAGGTGAGTGCTCTACTGCTTGAGCCACAGTGCCACTTCTGGCTTTTTCTGCTTATGTGGTTCTGAGGAATCGAACCCAGGGCCTCATGCATGCAAGGCAAGCACTCTACCACTGAGTTAACTTCCCAGCCTTGAAAGATTTTTAAGACCCTGATTAGAAAAACAGATTTGGTTTTCTTCTAAATTTATTTAGTAGTTTGTTGTTGTTGTTCTTATTGTTGTTTTCTGTCAGTCACGAGGCTTGAATTCTGGGCCTGGGCACCGTCCCTGAACTCTTCAGCTCAAGATAAGCACTCTACCACTTGAGTCACAGCACCACTTTTGGTTTTCTGGTGGTTAACTGGAGATAACAGTTCCATGGACTTTCCTGCCTGGGCTGGCTTTGAACCCCAATCCTCAGATTCAGCCTCCTGACTAGCTAGGATTACAGGTGTAAGTCTGCAATCTTTATTTAGTAGGTTTTTTTTTGTTGTTTTTTATTTTTTTGGGTCCGGTCGTGGGGCCTGAACTCTGAGCCTGGGCACTGTCCCTCAGCTCTTCAGCTCAAGGCTAGCGCTCTACCACTTGAGCCACAGTGCCACTTCCGGCTTTTTTCTTTTTGCTTATGTGGTGCTGAGGAATCGAACCCAGGGCCTCATGCATGCAAGGCAAGTGCTCTACCACTGAGCCACCTTCCCAGCCCTATTTAGTAGTTTTAAAAAGTTAAAATTTTTTGAAAATTGTCAGGAACCAGTGGCACATTTGAGGATTTGAAGATCATGGCTCAAAGCCAGCACAGTAAGAAAAAGTCTGTGAGATTCTTATCTCCACTAAACTACCAAAAAGGCTAGAACGGGAGCTGTGGCTCAAATGTTAAAGGAATAGCTAGCCTTGAGCAAAGAAAAGCTCACCTTGGCCCTGAGTTCAAGTCCAGAATTGGCACACACATGCGCCCCCAACACATACACACGCGCGTGTGCAGGCGCGCACACACACACACACGTATACACTCACATGTGCGTGCAGTAAAGCTGGGTAGAGTGGCTCAGGCCTGTGTAATTCTAGATGCACAAGAGGTAGAAATTGGGGGATTGAAGATTGAGGCCAGTCCAGGAAAAAAGTTCATGAGAGACTGAGAATGTGGCTTAGTCGTAGAGGGCTTGCCTCGCAAGCATGAAGCCCTGGGTTCATTCAATTCCTCAGTTTCACATAAACAGAAAAAGCCAGAAATGGTGTTGTAGCTCAAGTGGTAGAGTGCTAACCTTTAGCAAAAGAAGCTCAAGGACAGGCCCCAGGCCCCAAGTTGAACCCTCAGGACAGGAACAACAACAAAAAAGTGTATGAGACTCCATCTCAAAAAATACTTGTGCATAGTGGCACATCTTGGTACAATGACTAGATGGATGCAGTGATACATGACTGTTATTCCCTGAAATGTAAGGAACACAAGTAGGAAGATTGTTGCCCAGGCTGGCCAGGGCATAAAGTAAAACTCTACCTCAAAAATAACCAATACAGAGCTGAGATGCAAAGTGCTTACCTAGAAATCCAACATCCTAACTTCAATTCCCAGTACCAAATGAGAAAAGTAAAAAAAAAAAAAAAAAGTAAAAGAATAACCTCAGTACAGCCAAAATTAAAATACAAAAAATATTAGCACCAAGAATACCAAAACATAATTACTACAAACACAAATTCTACTCACCAGTTTGATTGCTACATATTCATTGGTGTAGAGATTTTTACCTAAGGGAAAAGCAGAGTACATATATATGTTTAGTGTCATTTCTTCTGGGAAATCCACAGAAAAATCTTAGCTTACAGGGTCATGAGAAAGGTCACATTCCCAAAGCTGTTCACATATATGAAATATGATTTCTAAGTGAAAAGCTAAACAGAGATAATGAGATCCAGCAAGACTAGAAAACAAAGAAGAAAAAAAAAGCTTGGGAATCCAAAGACGTAAGCTACACAATAAAATTATATTTTAAGAGAAAGAGTAAATCAACCAACCTTGACTTCTTCTTGTTCCCTGACACAATATTTTTTCCCAACTATTGTACCACAAGGCAATGAAAGAAAAAAATGCCATAATTTCAAAGACAGAATTTTAACTTGGTTTGGAGATATAGGTCAGTGGTAGAGTGAATGCCTAGTATGTGTGAGACCCCCAAGTCCAATCTTCAGTACTGAAAACTGGGGGAGGGAGAGTAATTTAACCTCTTGCCACAATAAACACAAACTGATTTTTCTAACATACTAATAGAATATTTTTTAGTCTTGTCCTAGTATTTAGTGGCAACTTTAGCTGACCTAATGTATAGATAGAATGAAATAAAATAAAATATTACCCAGTTTCTCCTTTTGTGGAACTCATTGACTGTCTATAAGCAGATAGTTCTTCTGTTTAACAGAGCTCATCAGAATTCTACTCTGTATGAACAGGAAACAAATCTTTATCTGTACAACACATAGCTCAGGGTTCTTCCTAAATCCTGAAATAATTTTTTTTCTAAACTTGTATACATAGAATCAATATTTTCCTGCACACCTAAAGAACCTAGAGTAATGACGATAAGAAGAGCAACAGCCACTTAGTAAGTCCATATTACATACTGAGTATTTAGCCCATGCCCAGCCTGAAACCCTTTCAATCCTCAAGCCCTTGGCACATTATACATAGTTCAGCTACTGCACTAGATTCATACTATTTCTCATATTTTTTCTCCTATTTTATTCCATTAGAGAATAAGTATCATATCCTGAGGGTAGGAAAATTAGGTAATTGTTTTCTTCTTTTTTCTTCTTCTTCCTTTTTTCCTCCTCCTCCTCCTTCTCCTCTTCCTCCGCCTCCTCCTTCCTTCCCCCTCCCCCTTTCTCTTCCCCTCCCCCTCCTCCTCCTTCTTTTTTGTTTTTTTGTCAGTCCTGGGGCTTGAACTCTGGGCCTGGGCACTGTCCCTCAGCTCTTCAGCTCAAGGCTAGTGCTCTACCACTTAAGCCACAGTGTCACTTCCTAGTTTTTTGGAGATAAGGGTTTCATGACTTTTCCTGCCAGGGCTGGCTTTGAACTTTGATCCTCAGATCTCGGTCTCCTGAGTAGCTAGGATTACAGGCTTGAACCACCAGGGCCTGGCCAGTTTTCTTAATGCTTTCTAGTGTTTTAAGACCATATTCTGCACGTCTGACACTTAAAACCTAGACTGATTTATTGGGATATACTGTATTACTGCTTTTAAAAACTACTAATCCAGGCAGGAAAGTCCATGAGACTCTTATCTCTAATTAACCACCAGAAAACCAGAAGTGGCACTGTGGGTCAAAGTGGTAGAGTGCTAGTCTTAAGCAAAAAAGTTCAGAGAGTGTGGTTCTGTGGCTCAAGTGGTACAGTGCTCACCTTGAGCTGAAGAGCTGAGGGACGGCACCCAGGCCCAGAGTACAAGCCCCACAATCAACCAAAAAAACAAACAAACAAACAAACAAACAAAACCCGGGGACAGCGCTTAGGCCAAGTTCAAGCCCTACAACCAACCAAAGCGGGGGGTGGAACCTAACATAAATAGCTTTATATGTACATATCATGGAAAAGGATAAAGGTATATAAAGAGTCCACAATTCTTTTCTAATTTCTCAGTTATTTTCTGATTTTTTTTTTGGGGGGGGTCAGTCATGGGCTTGAACTCTGGGCTTAGGCATTTTCCCTCAGCTCTTCAGCTGAAGGCTAGCATTCTACCGCTTGAGCCACAGCGCTTCCGGTTTTCTAGTGGTTTATTGGAGATTAGAGTCTCAGGGACTTTCCTGCCCGGGCTGATCCTCAGATCTCAGCCTCCTGAGTAGCTAGGATTACAGGCATGAGCCACCAGCGCCTGGCTATTTTCTGATTTTTATTTAACCTAACTTGGTCTTACAGTAGAGAAAACCAAACACTGCATTTTTGAGAACAAAATGCTGTTTCTAAGCTCTCATTTACCAAACTGTAGAATGCACCTTGATCAGTCATCTCCCTCATCTTTCTCCCTTCTCCCATTTTACCAAATCTCCTATTTCTACTTTCATATATGTAAACTGAATAGGATTGCATTTGCCCACCATTCCTCTTTCCACCTGCTCCCTCCTTTTAGCCTCCTTGGCCAGTCCCCTGGGTCATGAATTTATTTCAGCTTCCTGATATTAAAAAAATGATATTCTTAATCAGTGATCAGTCTTCACTACCAAGAGTCATTCCTCCAAAGTTCTCACTAAACTAAAAAGTGATAGACAAACTATGAAATTACTATCAGCTTTATTTCATTTTATTTTATTTTGTGTGTGTGTGTGTGTGTGTGTGCGCGTG